GAGAGAGAGAGAGAGAGAGAGAGAGAGAGAGAGAGAGAGAGAGAGAGAGAGAGATTAATCATCTTGTTCTGTTACTATGGAAACCCTTCCGGTGCATTTCCCCAGGCCCCTAGTTTATTTGCAGCTCTAAGGGAAGGCTGTGACAGAGAGCTTCCAAAAGTTTGAAATCAACACATTTAAAGGCAGCGTTGTTCAGGCCCTGCTCAACCTCTCAGCTTACCCTGCAGGGCTGGGGGAGGGGGGGGAATTGGCCAACTGATTCCTTAGTCCTCCCTTGACCTAATCCCTTCGTCTGGAAACCTTTCTCTCTACTCAGGCCAAGTACTATGAGCCTTTGAAGCCCAGTAAACTGCAAAGATTCCTGACTCAAAGGAATAAAATCAATAGTTTCATGATGAAAGTGGCAGAGTATGATCAGGATATGACCTTACTGCTCATGACCAACAACCCACCTCCCTGCTCTGTGGGCCAGGAGGAAAACGACGGTGCTCCAAAATACTTTCCTCCAGAATTCCAGCTCAAGGTAATGGTGCCCAAGAAAGTCTCCTGGTAGCCTAGGTATGGACCGGAGGGAGGGATTACAGTAAACTCGGAGAAAGCCAACTGAACCTAGAGAAGGCTTACCAAGATGCTAACTACCTCCTTCTCATGCCCACTGACCATACATTCCGTGAAATCAGAATGGCTGTGAGTTTAAAGTCTGCATGGGCTACATAGCAAGACCCTGCTGTCTCAAAACAAAACAAAACAAAACAAAAATAATTGCGGAACATATTCAGTAAGCTAAAACCTAGACTAAGACTATGAAGATTATCATAGGACAAATTCTATCTTGAAGAATCTTGGAATCTAGTAGATCAAAAAAATGATACGCATTAAAATAATTCTACTGTACCAGGATATGTGAATAATCCAAGAATACTTAAGATATAGAAATGATATAGAGTAGAGAAGAATCTCCCTGTTGGGGAAAGGGGAGTAATCACGGAGGTGTCTCACCACAAAAGAATAGGAGAATGTTCCAATCTGAGGGAATTGGGAAGGCTTGGGGTTATAAGAAAGTGAGGTGCTTTTATGCAGATCTAGAGAGAAATTTGTGATTTAGAAAGCACATTTGCAGGTTGAAGGGAGGTGCATTAGTTACAGAAGAGACAAAAGCAGAAAGATTAGTTATGATGTTACTTTTATAGTCGAGATGAGCAGTGCTGAAAATTTGAACTAAATTCAAAATATCAGAGGAAGTGAGGAAAATTGATTTAAGAGTCAGGAGCTAAGGAAGATGTTGACAGCCTGGAGAGCAGGCCCAGTCTAACAGGAAGAAATTAAATAAATGAAAGTACAAACAGAAGAATCTAACAGAGGTTAGAGTCTGGGAATGGGCTAGCCCGAAGTCCCAGCCTCAGGGCAACTGTGAATTGGGAGTTAGTACTTCTGTAGTCACTGCATGGGGGGCAGCCCAAACGCAGTGGTGGACACTGAAAAAGAACTCGTGCGTTCATTGTCTGTGGTCCCCGGGTCTCAGAATTTGTGCCCTTTGACAGGAACTTCAGTGTTTGTTGTGACAGTGGGTGCCATGTGTTTCTGAGAAAGAAACAAATGTGGACCAGGGCTGCTCTCCTTAACACAGAGAAGGGAACCAAGCAAACACGTAGAGTGCACAAAACGCTTTCTTTCCAACGCTGTCCCTTGTGAGTCCCCGAGGTCAGGCGCAGGACCCGATTGTCCTCATGAGCAAGCAGTACTAGTGGAATTGTATCAGCGGACAGGGTCAAGGCTCTGATTCTAAAGACTGGAAAGCATGGTATCTTTACTATTCCTGCTGTGCGCGCGCGCGCGCGCACACACACACACACACACACACACACACACCCACACACCACTTTTTTGGTTCTAGGACTCCATGCAAAGAGAGTATTCTTTCCTGTGCCCACGCACGGTGTAGATTCCAGTAAGCAAGCTGAAATTGTTGCCCTCAGTCCCTTCTAAGTGACTCCGGTCCTAGCACTGTCTCCTGTGAGAATGCCTCAGGGGCTTTGTTTTGCACAATTTAACCCTATCTCTACTCCTAGTATGGACCAGGTATGGATACAAGATCCAGGGTCACTAAAGTCCTAGGCTGGTAACTGACCTGAGGTGCAGATCGGTACCTCCAAACCCAAACAAACCAAAACTAAACCAACCAACATACTAGCCCCCAGATCCCTGAGTAAATCCCAGATTTTCATTTCTAAGCACCCAGATTAGAAAACGAAAAGATTAAGGCAATGGGAATGAAGATTGAAAGGGCACACAGAGGGCCGGGCAGTGGTGGCACACTCCTTTAATCCCAGCACTCGGGAGGCAGAGCCAGGTGGATCTCTGGGAGTTCAAAACTACGCAGAGAAACCCTATCTCAAAAAGAAGAAAGAAAGAAAGAAAGAAAGAAAGAAAGAAAGAAAGAAAGAAAGAAAGAAAGAAAGAGAGAGAAAGAAGAAAGGGCACACAGAGTGATGCCGTGAAAGAATCAATCACGGGGTAGAAGGGTAGTGCAAGGGCCCGGAACGTGCTTGGTTGCAGTTTCAGGGAAGGAAGGAAACAGGAGTCAGGGAGAAAGGTGGATATAATCATATAGCCTGCGTCCTTGGATCCATCTCTACACACGTATACATGTAGGCTACAGAAGGGCCACAGAAGTTTCCAAGTTTGAGAAGAGGGAGGGAGGGGGAGAGAGAGGGGAAAGACGGAGTGGAAGAGGACAGGAAGAGAGAAGGGACTTATTAATATGTTCCAGTTAAGACACCTGGGAATTCTCCACTAGTGCCATCTTGGATCCTAAATAACTTTCAGTTCCTGCTTATTTTATTTGTGTTTAAATATTTAAAAAGAAAAGAAAAAAGCCTTTATTTTTGAGAGGAGAGGGGTGACTCACTGAGGTCAGAAGACATCCTCTCAGGGTGGGCTCTCTCTTTCCATCATGGAATCATCAGACTTGGCAATAAGGCCCTTTTTCTGCCTTTTCCATTGAGCTGTCTCCACACCCCTTTTCTTTCCTTCTTCCTTCCTTCCTTCCTTCCTTCCTTTTTTTCTTTCTTTCTCTTTTTCTTTCTTTTTTTTTTTTCCCTCTGAGGTCCAGTTCTGCTAAGGTTCCGCTGTTTTCAATGGCAGGGTTGTTAACTAGGCCTTAGTTACTAGGTTTTGTTGTCTCACTACGTCACCTGTTAACTTGCAGAGAGTCCTGTGTCTTCAAACTGGACCAGCTTAAAGAGAAGGAGTTCAGAAGAAGAAAGCAATAGTTTAGTGGCCATCCCATGTATTTTTAAAAAGATTTTAAAATTATGAAAGTAAGAGCTCAGTATGTCAATTGACACCCTCTCTCTTCTACTGTGTGCCAGACCCCATGAAGGCTGAGAGACTAGGCGTGTATTGGTAGCATCTTTGCTGAAGTAGAAGTCTAGTGACTTATCTACGCAGACCACAGGCAAAGAAGCAACCACGCAGATCACCCATAATGTGACAGGTGCTTTGAAAATCAGGAACAGGGAATGGAACGTGAGTGGGAGTTTTAGATAGTGTGATTCAGGGAGGTTCTCAGGAGAGGCTGTGACTACTCAATAGATATTTAGGGCTGGGAAGTAACATGGGATTGCTGCTCCCAGCATCCTGGTCTCCTTTCACACAGTCTCACACATTAGGAAAACATTGACCGGAACTTTCTCTAGTGAGATAAATCAGGAGAATAAGGCAATTCAAACTGAATCAGGTGAACAGTTCAAATTATTGACGATGCTTATCTTGGGAGAAACAGAGCCTAGGAGGTACGTGGCAGATATCTTCAAAATTTTTGAGCATGCTACGCAGGAGGCATTGGATTCCTTCTGTTTAAGCTATTTTGAAAAAAGCTACAAGGAGATGGATATTGATTGGTTGAAGAGGAAGCTTATTATTTGCATCATTGTCATGATGATTAGTGTGTGTGTGTTACATGAGGAGGAGGAAGAACAGGCGTGCATATATTAGATCATATGTGGAAATCAGAAGACAACGTTGTGGAATTAGTTCCAGGGTTGGAACTCAGGTCTCCAGGCTTGGTCAGCAAGTGCCTTTACCTGCTGAGCCAGCTCACCAACCTCTTGTGTTGGGTTTGCTTTTTTTTTTTTTTCTTCTTTTTTTCTTTTGTATAGGACAACGGGATCACTTGGCAGGGAGATTATGGATGGGATACGAGTGACAGATGGACAGTCACACTGGATGACTTTTAAGAGTCTGAAAGCTGCTGGGCAGTGGTGGC